ACCTGCTGGGCTCAGGTGATCCTTCCACTTCAACCTTCCAAGTAGCTGGAACTACAGGCATACACCACCATGCCCAGCTATTTTATTGATCTATTGTAGAGATGAGATCTCGCCTAGTTGCCCGGGCTGGTTTCCAACCAGTGGGCTCAGGTAATCCTCTTACCTCGGCCACTCAAAATGCTGAGATTATAGGCATGAGCCACCATGCCCGGCCAAATAAAGATATTTTTTTTTAATTCTCTGGAAGATACTTTTCCCCTTTCACAGTATCAAAAAGGCCTATACAAGATTTGTTGAGGCCTGGCGCAGTGGTTCATGGCTGTGATCCCAGCACTTGATACGCTGAGGCAGGAATTGCTTGAGCCCAGTAGTTTGAGACCAGCCTAAGTAACATAACAAGACCTTATCACCACAAAAAAAAAATCAGTCTGGCAGGGTTGTGCATGCCTGTAATCCCAGCTACTTGGGAGGCTGAAGTGGAAGGATCGCCTGAGACCAGGAGTTCAAGGTTGCAGTGAGTTGTGATCATGCCACTGAACTCCAGCCTGGATAACAGAGTAAGACCTCAACTCAAAAAAAAAAGGGGGGGGGGGTTTGAGAATCAGATAAACCTGCTGTAAGATTCTTAGTGTAAGAGCCCTGGGAGCAGCTCATAGAAAGATAAAGTTTGTCACTTTAAATATAAAAGACTGGCCAGACACGGTGGCTCAAGCCTGTAATCCCAGCACTTTGACAAGGAGGCCAAGATGAGGGGATTGCCTGAGCCCACGAGTTCAACAACAGTCTGTCAATTGTCAACCCCACCTCTCCGTGATATCTGCCTGGGGAAGGGGGGACACACCTCATCAACAACGGTACCTGCACAATGAATATTTGTATACCTAACCCTGAATTATACCCCACAATTTTAAAATAAAATTTTTTTAAAAACCTGTAATTCCAATGCAAATGACCAGCATACCCAGTTACTCAACTCTGATTGAGATTATTTATTCAGTTAGAGATAATAATATCCATCAGATTTTTACTCATAATAATAAAATATTTTATTTACATTAAAAAAAAAAAAAAAAAGAACAGCCTGGGTAACTTGTTGAGACCTCATCTCTACAATAAATCAAAAAATTAGCCAGGTGTGGTAGCACACACCTGTACTTCCAGCTACTTGGAAGCCTTAGGCAGAAGGATCGTCAGAGTCCAGTAGGTTGACGCTGGGGTGGCTGTGAGCACGCTACTGCACTCCAACCTGGGCAACAGAGTGAGACCCCAACTCATAAATAAATAAATAAATAATGCTGGCAAATCTTCTCATATAGGGTCATAAATTAAGAATACAGCACAGCTGGGCTCGGTGGCTCAGCCTGTAATCCCGTGCCTTTGGGAGGCTGAGGTGAGTGGACTGCCTGAGCCCGCGGGTTCAAGACCTGCCTGGGGAGCGAGACCTCATCTCTACAATAAATTAAAAAAAAAAATTATCCGGGTGTGGTAGCGCGCGCCTGTATCTCCAGCTACTTGGAAGGCTGAGGCGGAAGGATTGCCGGAGCCCAGCAGGTCGAGGCTGCGGTGGCCGGGAGCGGCCACTGCACTCCAGTCTGGGTGACAGAGTGAGACTCCAACTCAAAAAAAAAAAAGAGAATACAGCATAGAACACAGTTCCAAGCATGAAGACAGCCATGCTGAAACAGAACACCATGCTGAAACAGAACAGCTGGAAGTCAGTCAAGTTTTTCAAGAAACTGATATCACTTCCTAGAAATGTCAAATATAACCAAAAATGCAACACTTTAACCTCACTTTTAGATTAGGAAACTAAGAAATTAAGTATTTCACTGAGATCACCAAGTGTGTTCTTAGCACTATGCTACACTGTCCCTCTTAAAAAAAATCAATCACTATGTCGTAAATTTAGAGGTTCTATATTTTATGTTTTATACTTAATATTAAAATAGAAACTATTGCACTTCCTTCTCTTCCTAGATCTAAACCTGATCATCTAAAAGGCCTAGAAATTCTGAAATATCATCTTCTGATGCCTTGAGTTTCCAAGACATTTAAGGAAGTAGGATCTTATAGTACACCCACACACTATTTTTTTTTT